TTAGGCAGAGCTCTGCTGCACCGCCGTCCGCTCCGCTTCGTTAGTTTTCCAGCCGGGCTCGCAGGCACAGCCAGACCGATGGGCACACGGCAAAAAAACCACTTCGAGGCCCAGCCCCAGCCTCCCTGCTCTGGTTAGGGGGCCCGAAGTGGAAGCAGTAAGGCGGCGAGGCCCCATCGTTCAGGCCGGACCAGAGAGCGCGGGGGTTTGTCAGCCAGTTTTGCCTCCTGAGGATCTGGAGACCCCCAGGCCGGGTCGGAGGCCTCTGTGATCTAACTCGGAACAGAAGAAATGGGTTTCAGCAGCAGCAGCGCTGACGAGAGCGACTGGGATTACTCACAGCGCGGTTCAAAAAGCCAGAGGCCACAAATATCTCTACATGATTCATGCAAAAGTTTGCCAGATGGTTTTACGTGTTTTGGAGTCTCGGGCTGCGTCGTAAGAGAACTAGCGCAAAATACCCAACTTTTGATGAGATAGATACAGAGCCGCTTCTTAACAACGTGTAAAGGAAGAGGAAACATTTCGTGCTCCCTCTGCACCAAGCAGAAGTCCAGCACGGTCCTCCCCCAGCCCATATGGAGTGGGACAGAGTGTGAAAAAAGCAAAATTACAAAACAAGCCAGAGCTGTATTTGGTAACAAGAGTTTGCTCCTATAAAAGACAACACCTTGCAGGAGGCTAAAATTTCCTGGCAACAACTGCATATGCAATTTGGCTGTTATATTTAATAGTTCTCATTCTTGGAGAAGCAAAAAGTGCATCACTTCCTTGGATGGAGGCTGAACTGAATCACTGTGTGGGTTTTGCCTTGCTTGGGCTATATGAATTTTAGGGCACTCCGTTATTACTCTCACTTTGTTCTAATTTGTTTCAAACCCCATTGTTTGGCTTAATGTCAAAACATCATCAAATAATCACTAATGAGAGGGTGTGGATTGTGCAAGATGCCCAAAGGCATATCTGTTTTATGCAGATTAAATATTTTTTTGATCTAACCTCCCTGTACTTAGGGAACATTAGGCAAGCAAACTTGCTACACCTTTTTTTTCCAACTACAACACCAACACATTAGCCTATTTTCTAAATCTTTCTCATAAGCAGTAAATGGGTAAGAGAATATATTGGTAATTTCTTCCAACTATTTTGCACTTCCTATAGTCTTAAGTTTTGAATTAACTGAGCTTGGATTTACCGTGATGTGTCCTGCCAGTGGGTATGGAAGCACATCTTGTGCGTAAACCAGCCAGAGCACTGGAATGGCTGTAGTGGGTCAGAGTTAGCATCGTATGCTGTTTCCAATGGTGGCTGGTCATCTCCTGGGCAGATAACGAATTGTGCAGCTCAGAGACTTTTAGCTAAAAGTAGTTTATTTCTGCTCTTGATAGACAAATTAAAGGAAGACAAATCCGATTGCTTTCTTAATCCATATACGCTTTTGGCATCTATGGCTTGATGTAGTTCCACAGTTTAACTTCACACTGTGTGCAAATCACTTCTGTATGCTTTGAGCCTTCTGTCTGGTATTTCCATTTGATGTCTCTTGACTTTTGCATTAATTAACTGTGAATTATCATTCTCTCTTAACTGTCTCCAGGCCACTCCTTGTTCTGTAGATTTGTACCACAGATTCCTCGCACTATTACCTCATTCATCTCTCTTCTAGGCTGACAAGTCTAATATTTTGCAGGTGCCGTTTCATAGTACCTCCAACAAATTTAAGTTGGAGCTTCCATCTCTCTACCTCAGACTGCATGTTCTTGCTCCCACATGGATTTCAAGTGCTCCAGGTTGTGCGCTCCTACTAAGTGCAACTCTTCCCTCCCCTCTTCCTTTATGCCTTCCCTCTTGGAGACCTCACCAAGCCATGGGACCTCCTCATCAACCTCTTCTTGGCCCTGGACAAGCTGGCCTTGAGTGCCATAGCAAGGAGCTCAGTGGGGAATCCTGGTGCCGGCGGGGCTTGTCCACTCACGTCCCCAAGCTGGGCACCGCTGAATGACATCCAGGTTCAGTGGCATTGTTGGGGGTGCTCAACAAAATGCTTTGTTTGTTTCAGAAGGATGAACATCTAAGTCAAATTAATAATTTCAGCAAAGTTGGAAGCAAATTTTGGTTAATTACAGTCTAAGGAAAAAAATATAACCTGTCAGGTTATCGTTAGAAAAATGAGTCCTAAAATTAAACTTCCTATGGACAGGGTATCCAAGTGAAGAGTCAAATACACCTTGTTCTGTGGAGGCTTTAGAAACAGCACTTTGGGAAACCTTTCGTGTAGCTACAGGTATGCAAATGCCTAACTGAATTACGCAGGATTTACTGATGTAGCAGTTGCTCTTTTATTTGTCAGAAGAAATAGTTATGTTTAAACTAGTTCTTTGAAAGCTTTCAAACATTCTTTTTTGAAAATGAAGCAGAAACAGGTTTATTTGCTCTCTATAAATAAAGGTATGGTCAACTAGCAACACCCTAAGGATAAGTGGAATGCTTCCAAAGCCTTCAAAACAGGTAGCTAAGAAAAATAAGCCTGTTGTCATGAAGCTTACATTCACTACAAGATGTCTGAAACGCCTTTGCAAACATTTTAGGAGTCCACAAACAAAAATTAAAACTGCCTTTATATAACAGTATGTCACATTAGCTTTAAAACCAAATCTGACTGAAAGGATTCTCTTTCTCTCTGCTTCGTTTCTTTCTGGTAAGAAAAACCCAGCAATGGGTTTCTCTGGAATGTGATCAGTATAACAGAACTTTCCAGACAGTGCAATTGCTCTGTACCAACACTAATTTTCATCCTTATCACACAGGTCAAAAAGAAGCAAGAGAAAGGTGTGTGGAAGAGAGACCAAAGTCAGTCTAGAAGGTCTCTGGTTTTCACCCCTGATTGAGGGCAAGCTTGCAGATAGTCAACAGCTTCTCACCTCATTCCTGGTATCAGCAAAGGGATTGCATAATATTAGCACTTCTAATCTAAGTAGTAAATCAATACTTGGAGCCTTGTGGGTTGTTTATTTATATAGGAGCAGTGACTGCTGAAATCAACTATTTCCTTGATGCAGTCCTGTTTCTTTACAGAATGTGCAGTTAGAATCAAAACAACAGAAGACAAACTTTGTACACAAACTTTGCCATTTTGTAGCAAGCACTCTCCAAATAAAGTTGCCTCGGTTTTGTCTCAGGCTGGGAAAGTTTTAACGTGGTCCTTTTTCTTTTTTTTTTTTTTTTTAATTGTATTTCTGCTACTTCTCAATAAACTTGGAGCACATCATGAAAAAAAAAAAAAGCTGAAGCATGTTAGACCTCCACATTAACCCTGCTCATCAAGAGTAACATACTTTTGTTCACTCCAGGTCTTTTTAAACTGACTCTCAGGTTTTAAAAGAAAACACAACAAAACCAACATAGCAGTCAGTCGTACACATTTGGTGACACAGAGGATTATTGATCTCTCCAAGGAAGTGCATTTCAAGGAGGAATTTCAAATAGGGGGGAACTGAGGGATGGCCTATCAAATAAAGGGCAGGGTTTTAAGAGAAGGGGCCTACCTCCAAATGTATGAATTGTTTTGTTCTTTGATGCTTTTGTTCAAGCTAGTTCCATTCCCTTCTTACTCTTACACATGAAACCAGACTGGAAAATTATCTGCAAATCTGTTTGGAACAGTTGTCATAAAATAACCGATTTCTATATTTTACATAAAGAATAAAAAAATCTTTATCCCATCTAGTATCGATAGCCAATATACTGGGCCTTCTGGGGAAGGAGCAGGGGGAAAGTAGAGACAAAATTTGATAGGTGTTCTGAACTAAAAAACTTTAATCAATTTTGTTACCCTGATCTACACAAATATCACTTCTCATTCTGAGTCATTATGTAGAAAATGTTCAGCAACTTGCAAGCATTACGTAATTAAATCTTTGTTTTAAGCCATGTTCCATGCATGAAATAATAGAAACATGTACCTGCTTGCAGACATAACATTTGTATTCTGTTAAAACAGCACATTTATTACCTGCTCAGATTTGTGCAGAGTTTAGAGCTGCTTTCTTTTCCAGAGGTAATGCCTGACAGTAACTTTCTGCCTGCTTAGGCAGCAAGAGACAACTTGCTGTAGTATTACCCAGGTACCTATTATGCCCCACAACACCTAGATATCTGCAGCATTTCAGAGACTGTGATGTACTCAATTAATTCATCGGACATAGGAGGCTGCACTATGTATCAATATGTACAGCCCAGTAGGCTTCGAGATTCCATAGCCATGATAGCACACATATTCATGGGGTTGTGTTTGGATTTTGATTCTTTCATCCAAGGGAGCACCTAGATATTTAATGATCTTGGGTCAAATCAGCACTTCATAGACAGTACCACTGAGATCGGTAGGTTTGCACACTACATAAAGTCAAAGGAGAATGTAGTTTCAATGTTGTCTTACTGTACAATTTATGACAAAACTGAAAAGCTCCATCAGGAGCAGAGCTTTAGAGTATTAGATCCTAAATAGGATGCTGTATGGACATGGAATTTCTGACTGAAGAATATACATTTTAGGAAAGGAAAGCAGTATTGACAGAGGTATTTCTGATCTATACCATACTAAATCTAGGGAAAGATTTGGCACTCTATATTAAATTTTGTTGGTGCAAACAGTTACATGTCTTATTAGTAGAACATATGCAACTGTAAAATCATTAGATGGCTGT